TTGAGGACGCGTGCGGCTATTTCTGAGCGCTATCGGAGGGACCGTAAATAGCACTCACAGAATACCGCGCAAAGGTTAGCTAAATAACGCAGCGACGTGACAACGAAGCGTGGCACTCCTCATACAACGACCGGTAACAGCGGATACGCAAGTGGCTTTCATGTTACAGCGACGTCAAACCTGGTTTTTTTTATTTCTGAAGTTGTTGGACGAGCTCACAACCCACCTGGTGTTAAGTGATTACTGGAGCCCATAGACATCTACAACGTAAATGCGCCACCCACCTTGAGATATAAATTCTAAAGTCTCAGTATAGTTACAACGGCTGCCCCACCCTTCAAACCGAAACGCATTACTGCTTCACGGCAGAAATAAGCAGGGCGGTGGTACCTACCCGTGCGGACTCACAAGAGGTCCTACCACCAGTAGAAGTGTAGTGGTTTAGACTTTAAGGTACTATCGTTCGAAGAACTGCACTACCTTCGTATTTGTAAGGTGTGATAGGCTTGTAGGGATACAATGTACGCACTGACAACAAAAACTAAACCCAACGATTGCCTTACTCCCGTAACATTCTAAGTATTCTTTTTTTTGCCATTAAATGCAGACGAGCATACGGCCCACCTGATAGTAAGTGGTTACCGTCGCTCATGGACTTCAGCAATACCAGGAGCAGAGCCAAGCCGCTGCCTACCGACCTTACCGTAATTCGTAACGTAATTTCAGGTGTTTAAATTTCAACTATCATTCTAATGGATCATGTGGATTGCAATGTTTGTAATATTTTAACCATGAAGAGCATTTAAAATGTGGGATTAAGCCTTAAAACTAGTATTATCTATCTATCTAAAATCGAGGAAAATATATAATATTGATGTGAGAGAACTTTTTTAAATATTTCGAAGATTTGCAAGAACTTTGAAAAATACTTGGAAAATACCATAAGCGGGTATAGCAGTTATGGTACATCCGCGGCAGGCGTGAGTCATCTTCTATTCACGTTATGCGATCGTCTTATATTTTTTCCGGTTTTGCTCAACTCTTTGGCAGCACTAGGCTTACGGAAATCACTAAATTCCATTTTCCGGTCGCAGCGAACGAGATCTTAATATAAAGTTATTTACGACGGCCACGTGATCACACATACAAAAATAAATTAATGTATCGTATAATATATTGCTGTAGTATTTTTTTATGATTTTATAATATCATCTTTTTTTATATTCTCCAGTTTCTTTGCGTGAATGTGATGTTGTGAATTTATTTTTGTGCACGCGTCGTGTTTACGTTCATGAGGTTGATGTGTTTCGGCTTGGAGCGATTGGCAGATGAGAATATTAGTTTCGCCCAGAATTTAATATTGTAGAAAAAAATATTTCGTTTTTAGCATTGTCGGCTGAATATGAATAGAATAGGAAGTAGTGGAGGTGATGCTATCGTCTTTGTTCTGCCACTACTAGACGCCCCACCAAAGTTCATCGCTTTTACCTTGAGTTATTTGCTTCAGTTCTTCCTTGTCATTTTTCATTCTTTGAAACTTAAAACTCTGTAACTATACTGAGACCTTAGAACTCATATTTCAAGATGGGTGGCGGCATTTACGTTGTAGATATCTATTGGCTCCGGTAACCACATAGCACCAGGTAGGCTGTGAGTTCGTTCACCCATCTACGCAATAAATAAAAATAAAAACATTGCACATTATGCAATACATTAGAAAAACGGCCAGTTTACCTTTGAAATTAGAGTCCACGTTGATTTGGTTGTTAAAAAGACAACGGGTCTTAATCAGTACCTCAATAGGCTTTTTATTTTATTTTTTTATTGCTTAGATGAGTGGATGAGCTCACAGCCGACCTGGTGTTAAGTGGTTACTGGAGCCTATAGACATCTACGACGTAAATGCGCCACCCACCTTGAGACGTAAGTTCTAAGGTCTCAAGTATAGTTACAACGGATGCCCTACCGTTCATAACGAAACGCATTACTGCTTCACGGCAGAAATAGGCAAGGTGGCGGTACCTACGAACACACCCTCCATTTGAATGAATGCTGTCACCGCTGAATGTAAATACCCTCAGTGGAATATAGCCACCTGCCTATAATTTCGTATGTTTGTTAAATTTCATTTGAAGAAAAACAAGCCATGGCGTTTTGGAAACACCATAGAGAACGGACTTCGAACCCGAGAAACCACGTGAAAGCTCCCAACATTCACACTTTTGTATCTAAAATCTTTATCGACGTAAAACTTTGGACTGTAAAGCGGACTGCGTCCTCTTCTCCCTGTCTACCTCGATCAATAAAAAAGTATAGCTCATAAACTAAATAAGCGCTTTGAAACTCAAAACCTAAATGAATCATCTTTAATTCTGATCATCTTCGTCAAGACGTTTGGCCGAAGCAATAAAATACACTTCTATCATCGGTCATCGATCCTATGGACACGTGCGCAAATTGATATTTGAAATATTAAGTACCATTTAAACACAGCTGAGGTTAATAAAAGGAAGCAGCACCTTAACCACAAAAATATTATGTTACATAGTTTAGGAGCTAGAAGTTTAAATATTACAGTATTTTTCTTCTTCTTTAACCGGTGTCTACTCAATGCTAAGTGTAGCTCTCTTCACATCGAGGAGTGAAAGGCTATTTGGTTTAAGCGACTTTCTCGAAACTTTACAGGGGAGGAGCCATTTAAATAGTTAAAATTAGGAGAAAATATCCAAAAACTTCTTCAGTTATTTGAATACGTCATTTAGTTGAAGTTCAATTAAAAAATATCGAACTGTTGATGCTAATCTATACTAATAATATTATAAAGCTGAAGAGTTTGTTTGTTTCGCTAATCTCAGGAACTACTGGACCGATTTGAAAAATTCTTTCAGTATTAGATAGCCCATTTATTGAGGAAGGCTGTATACTATAACATCACGGTAAGACCAATACAAGTGGAGCAACAATAAAGAATGTTTCAGAATAGGAGTTTAAATAGCTCCTTAGCATTTTATAATTCAAAAATATCTTCTCTTTCTACGTAAATGAAGTGGGGGGTAAAATTTAGCGTTATGCCAATGTAACTATTCTACGCGGACGGAGTCGCGGGCAAAATCTAGTACCAAATAAAACGGACCTTTAATTGGAAAGATAAATGTTGAGTACTAAGCGAAATATCGCTTAAATCAAATAGCTTTTCACCCCTCGATTTAAAATACTTATAAATATTATTATTTATTGTTATTACCTATTACTTCACAGTAAGCCGTTAGAGTAATTTATTTTGTATTTATAATTTATTTCATTATTTTTTTAAAGCATAACATTTTGTTAAGAAGAATTACTTAAAATCTATGTTGGTAACTTAAAAAATCTAACACATAAATAACATTACATACATTTTATATCGTAACATTTTTATTTTATTTTTTTCCTTCCAGGTGCCTGCTGCAAAGGCTATTAATCAGCAGTCCTTCGATCTTCCTCGATATGATTTTCAGAAAACTTGCCACTGTCTCTAATACATAAAAACATTTACTGTTTATTTTTTAAATTACTTTTGTTGCGACGGGTCAACGAGCTCACAGCCTGATTGATGTTAGTTTTGTTACCGATTCCCATAGATATCACAACCTTGAGACATTAGCTCTCAAAGTCTCAATAGTATTTATAATATCACGACTGCCCTGCTCCCTCAAACCGGAGCATATAATCGCTTCGCGGCACAAATAGGCAAAACTGTGGTCCTTCCTTTTTTCCCCTGCCGATTCGCTGGAAGCTTAAGGGGCTATTTCAGCTACGCCCGGTAAGTGAGCTCACGGGCTCAACCTGAGAGAATTTGCTAACACTAGTCCTAGCAAGAACAGAGCTTCGTAGAATCTACCACCGGATCGGAATCGTGACCTACTGAGAAAATCCGGCGAGAAACTCATGGACTAAAAGTTACGAGAGTGTAATGCTCAAAGAACACTGCTAAACGTTCTCTCGCGAATCCCTTAATTGCCTTTTACGACACCCGCGAGAAGAGATGGGGTGGTGCTATTCCAAGCAAAGATTACACAAAATCATTTACATTTAGGGGTTTTGTTTTGGCTAATTAGACTTTTTATAGCTGACTACTGACCCGCCCTCGCTTCGCTTCGGAAACTGTAATTTATGATTGATTTCTCCACTATTTAATGGATGTTATTATACATATAAACCTTCCTCCTCAATCACTCTATCTATTAAAAAAACCGCATCAAAATCCGTTGCGTAGTTTTAAAAATTTAAGCATACATAGGGACAGAGAAAGCGACTTTGTTTTATACTATGTAGTGATGATGAGTGAACGCCGCTTATGGAAAAGAGAGTCATTGCCAGACCTCTGTCTTTCATAACGTATTCAATGAGTATATCGTGCTATATCTTCTCCTACATCGCTTTCTTCTCTAAAGGGTCTGCTAGAAAATATACAGAAAGAAATAAACAGTAGTTTTGAATGCAATTATTCTACTATTCCCTTTTACAGTGTTTTTGAGCGTATTCTTAATAATATATTATAATCTAAGTTAACTTGGAATTTGATGTAAGTTACGTACACTAGATAGATACTTATGGCTATAAACCTCCTGTTCATTAATAGGCAAACTAGAATTTCTCATTTGAACTTAGGATCAAGTTTAAACTTCGCTTTAAAGAGATGATATGATGAGATATACCGGACAAAGATGGAAAATAAACATAATAACAAATATATTATAATACCTTTTATGTACAGTGTAAAAAAAGTAAAGTTTCTTCGAAAATATCCCGCGGGGCCATCAAACGTAGTTTAGATATCAATCTTCACATAATAATATGTAAACAGTAATCAATCCCTATTTATTGAATCCCATATTAAAAATTAATACATCTTTCACGGTCGAACGGTAGAAGAAAACAAACAAATTATAGCTAAGGTTAAACCGTAAAAGTGATTTTAAACGCATCTGCGAACCGCGATAGCTGCCAAGTATACTAACCTTAGTTACAGAACAACACCATTCACACCATACACAATAAATGTACATTGCACTTTACGAAAATACATAAACACTGAAGCAGAACTTTTCTATGCTCGTAAGTCTCAAACACGTGCGCACACGCACACAACTCGCGTCACACTGCGGAGCTTACAGATTTTATAGATTAAGCTTCAGTATTTTGAAAGATCATTGCACGTGCGCGATCACCCCTATTGTCATAACTCCGAGCTTCCGACCACCCTTAATAGGGTAATGGTAACTTTATATTGTTTTATGGTGATTAACGCCAGAAGTGCATTTAACACGTGCTCGAAACGGAATCTAATATTCATCGCACGTTGAATATGTTTACTAGTATTCCGGTAAAAAAAAGTGCGTTAAATTGATATTTAAATTTGGAAAAATTCGTTACAATCGAGACATTATTTTAGAATTACAATACGTTACAAGTTTTCATCTCGATACATAGAGTTCTCATGTCGTATAATATGAATGATGCCACTCATCTTAAGGACTAAAGTATCATTTAATTTTGTAGTGTATAAAGGCTACCCCGCTTATGAGTCGTCGTGGCCTAAAGGATAAGACGTCCGGTGCATTCGTGTTGAAGCGATGCAACGATGTTCGAATCCCGCTGGCGGGTACCAATTTTTCTAATGAAATACGTACTCAACAAATGTTCACGATTGACTTCCACGGTGAAGGAATAACATCGTGTAATAAAAATCAAACCCGCAAAATTATAATTTGCGTAATTACTGGTGGTAGGACCTCTTGTGAGTCCGCGCGGGTAGGTACCAGCACCGTGCTTATTTCTGCCATGAAACAGTAATGCGTTTCGGTTTGAAGGGCGGGGCAGCTGTTGTAACTATACTGATGATACCTTCGAACTCATATCTCATAAGGTGGGTGGCGGCATTTACGTTGTAAATGTCTATGGGCTCCGGTAACCACTTAACAACAGGTGGGCCGTGAGCTCGTCCAGCCATGCAAGCAATAAAAAAAATAAAAAAATAGGCGCATGGCTAGAGCTAATAAAAACAATCATATTCTATCTATCTATTTATCTAACTATTTCAAAAGGCAACAATTTCTCTCATCAGCAGCCATACAAAGAACGCAGTCAAAACGCTTTCAAAACTATTTTACGCAATCAACAAGCAAATTATTTCCCTACCTATTCACTGGTGGTAGCCTATGAGGCTATTTCGCTACAACCGGACGAGTAGGTTCACGGGTTCAGCCTGGGAAGATTTGCTAACACAGCCCTAGTAAGAGCTGTGGTTCGTAGAATCTTTTTTTTTATTGCCCTAGTAGGCAGACAAGCATACGGCCCACCTGGTGGTGAGTGGTTACTATCGCCGATGAAGTTCCGCAAGCCAGAGGCAGACCCAAGCTGCTGCCTACCGATCGGATCGAACCGGATCGGAATTGCGACCCATGAAAAAGATCCAGCGAGACACTCAGCAACTCAGCTAAGCAAATGGCATGAAACGATGATCGCTGCAAGAGCGTAATTTAACAATCGGCATCATGCGGCCCAATCTCAAATTTCTACGTAGATTATTTAGGCAAGATTACTACATCCGGGTCTACCCTCATCTAATTAGCACTAGAGAATTTTCGGAAATTTAATTAACAAACGACAATTGGGGGGAGGTTTTGGTACCAGCTGCATTTATTAGTAGTGACAGGGCGCGCTACGAGCCTACACGGGTCGGTAACACCATACGATATATTTCTACCACACATTTAGTATACATTCCGATTTTAAGGCTAATTAATAATAATAACCAGTAATTGTTTATTTCATTTTAAGATTACAAGTAGTCTCCCAGTAGTCGAAATTCGACTATAATTAATTTAAATTATAAGTTTGAACATTATTATGGTTCTATTTTCAAAGATAATTAAACTTCTATAATCACAGATTTCGCCAAGACTACACTATAGACAAATAATATTAAAGACAAACAAGATTAATGTATTCTCAATTTGACTACAGACTAAACAATAACAAAAGTTTGACAATTGACAACAAACAAAGAGTAAGTATATTTATATGTATGTGTTGTGTCAAATACATGGTAGTATGTGTAATGTTTTTTTTTATTGATTTAATGTATGTTTTATGCAAATGATAAAAAAATAACATTCTAGACTTCTTCTCTGTATTCCCTATAAGTGTGGGAAATTTCATGCTCCTCCGTCTGCGCAATTTTCGCAAAAAGGGGTAAAAAGTTTTTGCTTCAGCATACAGAGATGATAGAGCATAATATATTGATGTGCAATTGAACAGTTGTTGACCGTATAATATTGTCTAGTATTCTTCCAGTCCCTTTAATCTACTTCTTACTCTTAATTAAGCAGCCATGATGGTTTTTCCTAAAACTTGATATAGGTATTAATAATCTTTGCAGTTTAATTAACTGAGGAATATTGATATGATCTAAGGTGCAGGCTGAAAATCTTCGCTGCTATCATATCTATATAGACTAATGGCGTAGGCACATAGCTCTAAACTGTTTAATCTTTGCCCTAATGTCCCAATGCATTCTGTATCGAATATTAAATAGCGCATCTACACTTTATCTACTCATTGTATAGATCGTATAATAAAATAAATATTATAATCTATAATCATATAATATCGTATAATAAATTAGATTACTATTCCTAATGATGATATTACCCATATACACATCCCACTGAATTTCTCGCCGGATATTCTCAGTGAGTCGCGTTTCCGATCCGGTGGTAGATTCTGCGAAGCACTGCTCTTGCTAGGGTCAGTGTTAGCAACACTCCCGGTTAGAGACCCGTGAGCTCACCTTCATGTCAAGAAGAAGCTGAAATAGCCTCTAAAGGCTATCGTGCTGATAGCCTTTAGATCAAACGGTTACATCTCTATCGATTTTCTCAATTAATTAACCCAGTACAGAACGGCCTTATTTAAGTCAAATGGCGATTTAAAAAGTATACACAGAACTTTAAAATAAGTCACATATAATACCCGTACAGTACCTTGAAATGCAAGTCTATTTTTTATATATATATTTTTTGATGCCAGTATTTTATTTTATACCTATTATTACACAGAATACACTTTAAAAGTTTGTATCACATAGAGCAAGCTGTAAAACCCGAACCTTCAGAAACTAAAAATTCTGATTTCCCCATTAAATCGAATGTATTCATCGAAGCACTTCCTAGAGCGTACCTTGAATCTTGCGTTAATGTTGAATAGTTTGCAGTTACTAGTTTATTCTAAATTTTATTTGTTTTTACAATTAACGTTGGTAACACGCACGAAATAAACCCTTAACATAAAAGTAATTCTTTTCTCCTCCTCCTCAAGAATCCTCAAAAATTCTTAAAAAATTATTCGCGTAGTAATTTTAGCTCATAAAAAAATCGGCCAATCCCGCGCATTGAAATGCAAATCGTCACGTCATAGAAGTCCTTTTATTACAGCGCGCCCCTCAATAATTTTAAAACGTAACAAAAAAGAGTACGCCGCCACCCGCCGCTTAACTAATTTGATTTATTTATTTGTTCTGTACATCGTTCGTAAACACGAGCACCCAAAATGTAACGCCACGGGCCATCACGGTGCGCTTACTTCCAAATCCCTGTAGTTTTTTTTTTTTTTTTTTTTCAAGTCAACACTGACTATGTTTTTTCATAAACGAATCCAACACAAAAAACAATAAATTAAATTGAGGAATGTGAATAATTCAAGCACGGACCCTTTCTTTTAAATTTAAGTAAGTAAGTTAGGATTTTTAAAATTAAGCCGGCCACAACACCACCGTGATGGGTTAGTATAATTTCGGTGCGATGCTTAGAAACAAATATCTGGGACCTTCAACCAAAAATACAGTTTTATTTTATTATTTTTTTATTATTAGATGGGTGGACGAGCTCACGGCCCGGTGTTAAATAGTTACCGGAGCACATAGAAAATGCTAAGGTCTCAGTATACTTACAAAGGCTTCCCCACCCTTCAAACCGAAATGCATTACTGCTTCAGGGCAGAAATAGGCAGGGTGGTGGTACCTACCCGTGCGGACTCACAAGACGTCCAAACACCAGTTGCTGTTAATCGAAGGCTTGCTGGTGGGCATTGTGAGCCCACACCATAGATAATACACTTCATATTGAAGCCCGCATAGTTAGGTACCACGAGCCCGCTTGTTTCTGCAGCAGTTATGTGTTCCGGCTTAAAGAGTGGGGCAACCGTTGTATTATAGAACTGGGACTTTAAGCTCATGTCTCAATTTGGGCGGCGGCATTTATGTTGTTCATGTCTATCGGGTCTGGTAACCGCTTAACACCAGGTGATCCGTGATCTAGTTTAGCCGCCTAAGCCAAAGCATGTTGAATAGGAAGCTCTGTGGAACTACAACAACTATAAAACATTTGCAAATAACTATTTTATTGATAACAATATGTTGTTCAAAGGTTTTTTTTTTTATTGCCTTTGTACGCAGACGGGCATACGGCCCACCTGATGGTGAGTGGTTACCGTCGCCCATGGACTTCAGCAATGCCAGGGGCAGAGCCAAGCCGCTGCCTACCGCTTAATACTCTCCATAAGCCTCGTTTGAAGAAGGACATGTCATAGCGCTCGGGAAACACCGTGGAGGGGAGCTCATTCCATAGCCGGATGGTACGTGGCAAAAAAGATCTCTGGANAAAAAAAAAAAAAAAAAAAAAAAAAAAATGCTTAGAAACAAATATCTGGGACCTTCAACCAAAAAAATTGTTTATTTTATTTAATTTTTATTGCTTAGTTAGGTGGACGAGCTCACTGCCCACCTGGTGTTAAGTAGTTACTTGAGCCCATAGAAATCTACAACGTAAATGCCGCCACCTAACTTGAGATGTAAGGTCTAAGGTCTCAGTATAGTTACAACGGTTGCCCCACCCTTCAAACCGAAATGCATTACTGCTTCAGGGCAGGGCAGAAATGGGCAGGGTGGTGGTACCTACCCGTGCGACCCGACTCACAAGACGTCCTACCACCAGTTGCTGTTAATCGAAGGCTTGCTGGTGGACGTACCTACGCATTGTGAGCCCACACCATATTTAAGCCCGCATAGATAGGTGCCACGAGCCCGCTTGTTTCTGCAGCAGTTATGTGTTCCGGCTTAAAGAGTGGGGCAACCGTTGTATTATAGAACTGGGACTTAAGCTCATGTCTCAATTTGGGCGGCGGCATTTATGTTGTTCATGTCTATCGGGTCTAGTAACCGCTTAACACCAGGTGATCCGTAATCTAGTTTAGCCGTCTAAGCCAAAACATGTTGAATGGGAAGCTCTGTGGAACTACAACAATTATAAAACATTTGCAAATCACTATTTTATTGATAACAATATGTTGTTCAAAGAACATTTGTTCAGGTGTTTTTAACACAAAGATTCTTACGTCTAAAGTTTCGAAAATATTTCAATATTGTACTTAGCTACAGTTTCGAGTGCCTTCGCAAACGCAAAATTATATTTGTAAGCTTGGAGCTTGGAGCATTGGAATGGAGTGGTGCACAACAAAAAAATATCTTATTGGAGTCTGTACCGGTGTACTGTCAAGAGATATATGATACTATGTAATAAAACAGTGAGCTTAGTGCGAGTTTTTTAACGTCCTCGATAGCGTAAACGTTAACTCCAATTTGTTTGCAGTTGGAACAGCGCCCCTAGCGGCAAACACACAGTCCTAAAGTGTCAATAGCACCAGTAACTACCAAACAACTATTCATGATGATTATTACGTGGCAGATCAGAATTACAATACGCCCCACGGATACAAATTTGAACAAGAGCACCTTGAATCGCTGGATAATTGTACACAGGGCCTCTTATCCTTGAAACCGGGAAGATACCGCAGATTTTTGGTTGGTAACAAACTTTTCGTATCTGTTGTCTTTAAAAGCCCGCGTGGCAGGCCTGTACACACTTGAGTGATATTATGGATGTTAAGGTGAAGTGGAGACAACTGGCGAGAGGCCTATGTTTTTTTTTTTTTAGATTACAGGGTACCAACAGGGTACCCTAGGATTACTACACAACAACAACAACATACATGATAATATGTATAAATCCGATTTCTTGCAAATATCGTTAGCGCGATTCAGACCAGATGCCATCTACTGAGGGATAGCAAACTAGGTAAGCAAGTTGTAAAATGGAAAAGTATGAAAGTACCTATTAAAAAAATAATTAATTATTCATGTTAAGTTATTCATTCTAATATTAAAAAACACTTTAGTTATGAACATCCATTCGCCCGTTAATTTGTAGTTTAATGTTGTAAATTTGAGCATAAAACGCATGCGTCTATATATATTTATTTTGGTTTTCCAACAATGGACATAAAGATTGTTAAAACAGTAATAATAAATGGTTCTTAGTAGATGTGCTTAATTACAGCATCCATAAGAACATACTACCAGTAAAAAAGAAAGAAATTTCGCTTAAAGAGATGTGCTGGCTCAAACAACAAAAAGATCATTCGATTATCTTTCAATATCACTGTCAGTTTATCAATCGTCTCTGTGGTTGTAAGACATCTTGTAGAGCTTCTTGGCGGAAACGCAAGGGGCGTAGTTGTGTGAATTGTTTTATTTTGTTAGTTCAGGTTTAAATGCGTATTAACGATAGTTTATTAGTATCTGTGAAACTGTTTAGTATCTGTGAAAGTTCACAAATGTGGGAAAATTAATCAAAGCCGCAGGACGTAGCTTGTTGGAATCTTCCAAAAAGTCCCAAGCAAAAGTCTCAGAAAATTTTACTGCGACTACATTTTATTCATGTACTCTTGTTTCATTAAATTTTATCCCAATTGTTCAATGTTTCTAGTTAATTAACTTGATTTCTTTTCTCTCCATTTAATTTTTCGAAACAGAATATTATACAAAAGAGTAGGTAGCATGTTGTGATACTTTTGCCTTTTCAATTGAAAAAATGGAATTACTGCTACTGTAGTTGCTAGCTGTCACTACTCTGGTAACGCGTCACTTCGTTCAATGTCAAAATTCTCGCGTTACTTGTGTTGAAATCGTATTTTAATGAATTTTATAATAATTTAGTCGTTTAAACATATTCTAATTCAGTTATTTGATTTTTCAGTTAATAATTTATAATTTTAAAACAGCTATGGATATGGTAAGTGTATAAAACCTGTAAAATCGAATAATATATTTTGCATGTGTTATTTTATGGAAGTACCTAACCTAAAAGTTGAAGACAATAATTATGAAAAATATTCTTATATTACAAAGACGTATATTCTTAATATCTACTCAAGCAAAATTCAGTAATAACAGACATTAATATTTGCAAAGCGTTGTTCAAATGTAGTGTTTTGATTCAAAAGATTTTCTATCTATTGGCTATTTATTACCCTATTACCTCATCTTTACTACATATTATTAAACATGAATCAATCAATTTCGTAATTTCCATTTTTGAATAGGAAGATTCATTGATTTAGAGTACTTAGCATATTTTTGTAATTATTCCATTATATTCTAATAACATAATTTATAATAAACAACATAGCCCACAATGGGCTTTGTTTGGTGATTGACTATTGGTGATTAAATGTTGTAGAACCTTAATAAAACTGAAAACACCAAGAAACTTCCAATTATTGGGTTGACAAATTGAAGTGCCAATGGACAGAATTCTCAGCAATTCAATTTCACAGTGGAATACTGTCATAATAGACAAACATGAAACACAGTGTCGCTGCATCCAATTGGGTGGAAATATTTTTAGGATGCCTACGTTGATCAGTGAACTGCTAAAAGTAAACGCATTGTAAATAAGTGCAAGATAAAAAAAAAGAATTTCAACCTAATAGACAAAACTTTATTTCAATAAAATCCTCAAATGCTTACATTTTTATTTAAAACACTATTTCACATTATATGAATGAGTTAAATCTAAACTTACTCTCCACTTAACTTAACCATCATTAATGAACTGACAAATTTTCTTCAGATTTCCGAAAAGTTTTTTATGAAATCCACCTTGAACACGACTGGAACACAATTTAAGATAAATTAGCGGAATCTGTCAAATTGTACTCTAGTAACGTTCAATCGAGCAAATAAATTGAAATTTGCCAGATTACTATCTTTTCGTATTATTTACAGCGGACAGCTTTTATGCGAAAAGCAATGAGGTCAATATCTTAATTATAATCAGTCTATCACCAGTTTTGGTACTAGGTTCATGTGGTTCAGATAAATTAAATTTAAATTGTCATATTAGCCTAGTGGTTAATATTTTTACTTAGTAGCCACAGAAGTCTATAGATATCACATCATAAAACTGAAATGTCTCGATTACTTCAAGAGGGTGCCCTGGTCTTCGAATATAGAATTTATGTCCATATCTAGCATAAGGAAGTACTAGACTAAATTTTGATATCACAGTCAAGTCTGAAACACAATTAGAAATTTCTATTTAAGCTATAGGTATTTTGAAATATCCAGTTAAATAATATTATGATAAAATTAATAATAGTAAAACTTTATGTAATTATTACTAACAAAATGTTATGGTTTTAAAAAAAAAACTGAAATAAAGTGATAATAAATAAATAAATAAAAAAAAAAAAAGGTTTTAAAAAAACAAAAATAGTTCATAACTGAGAAATACACAAATGTAGGGAAGACACGGCAAAGACTTTAGTTACAGAGAGTTTCAACATTTCCATACTGTGTTATGTCTTAAAGACAAGGAACATGACTGAAGAAAAACTAACAAAATAATCAATGTAATCAATTAACTGTAATACGCCTCCAACTCTACAATATGTTATTCATGAATGGTCTTGCTTCGAGCCTCACTGTAGTTTTCTGCTACCAAAATGCAAAATAAATTCTGTAAACACATATTACTCAAGCAAAGGTCCTTTTATTCCAACAATGTTAACAAAATCAAACCCATTTTTTGTCATAACAATGTCAAAACTTACTAAGTTTTACAGGAGAGTTTTAAAGGTTTAACATGATATTTTGAATATTAATCATCTTTGCAACATTTATTTTTTAGTTTTTACCAGTTACATTATTTGTCTTTTAAAATAAGATAAAATTATGTATTAACTTTGTTAATAGTAGTCAAAATATAGGTAAACTAAAACTAAACTATGCTCTTTTGACAATATTTATGAGAAAAATACTGGAGATACCAAATGATTCTGCATATTAACTCAATTTCGAATATTTTTGGAAATTGTACACTTTTAATGCGAATAGACGATATTACAACAAGCCTAATAAATATCAAACCAGCTAAAGATAATTAAGTACACAAATTCTTGAATGAAATAATTGCTTCGTACAGTTGCAGGGCGGCACAATGCAGCCCCCCCTACCGGCCGTACCACTGCTGACTACACTGGTCCCCGCCGCGGCCCCCGCAGCCCCCACCCCCGCTCCTGGTAAGTATGACGACGACACCCCGAGGTAGGAAGACCGGTATTTGTAGAGGAGCCCGCTAACGCCGCTGGGTTGTGCTCGCTGTTGCAGGACCCGCGGAGCAGAGAGGTCGGCCGACGCGCGCCATCGCACACCGCACGACCGACACACGTTCACTCGCTCAGTGATCCGTTGTTCTGCTTTCTGTTTCAGGCTAGATATAAGTTAGGTAAATGCTAAAGACTGACTGCGGCCGGGAGCGGCGCCGGCTGCNTTGTAGAGGAGCCCGCTAACGCCGCTGGGTTGTGCTCGCTGTTGCAGGACCCGCGGAGCAGAGAGGTCGGCCGACGCGCGCCATCGCACACCGCACGACCGACACACGTTCACTCGCTCAGTGATCCGTTGTTCTGCTTTCTGTTTCAGGCTAGATATAAGTTAGGTAAATGCTAAAGACTGACTGCGGCCGGGAGCGGCGCCGGCTGCCACGCGCCACGACCAATGTACTTACCTCCTTCTACCGCCCGCCTGCCCGCGACGTATGACTGAAGCGCCTCCGTCCTCCTGGTGCCACCGCACTAGCCCACCGCTACCGAGAGCCTCTGAACGACATGTGAAAGGGTGTTGAGTGTGTCGAACGGTCAAATGTTAGAACCGGCTACTCGCGGGTAGAGAGAGACGGAGGTTAGCGAGCGTGTTCGGTTGACTTGATGAGAGGTGGCATGCACGCGTCCACTGCTGTAAGCCAACTTAACCGAGCGGCCACTCGGTAACGTGTGCGCGTGTGTTGCAGGTTTCGTCGCCCCCATCTACGACTTCAAACAGCAAGGAGACGTATTTACGGGTCAGTAGAATTAATTAAGTACACAATAGCTTTCGTTTTAGTTTTCGTATTGAGTACAATAAAATGGAGTAATGTTTAGGGCCAGGAGCGAAATGCGCAACACTGCCGGCCATCCTGGGCGGTTCGCTGCCGCGACTATCGTCGGAGCAAGCGGACGCCGTGGCTCGCGCTAAGAAATACGCCATGGAGCAAAGCATCAAAATGGTGCTCATGAAGCAAACCCTCGCGCACCAGCAGCAGCAGATGGCCTCGCAGCGCACGCAGGTGCAGCGGCAGCAGGCCCTCGCGCTCATGTGCAGGTAACCGAACCTCGCGACCCCCTGCCGTCCCCCCGCGACCCCTCCCCCGCACAGTGATGTAAGCGATGACGGTAGGCTCCCGCCCCGCGCTGGTCGAGCCCTTGACCCTTTTAGCTGAAAAGATCTGATGTACAAATACGTGTTTAAATCTTAATTCTGTTAAAGATCAAATACTCATCTAATAGTTTTGGCTCAGGGTGTACGTGGGTTCGATATCGTTTGAATTGAAGGAGGACACCATCAGACAAGCGTTCCTGCCGTTCGGGCCGATCAAGTCCATTAACATGTCGTGGGACCCCGTCACGCAGAAGCACAAGGGGTTCGCGTTCGTGGAGTACGAGATACCGGAGGCCGCGCAGCTGTCGCTCGAACAGATGAACGGCGTCATGCTGGGAGGAAGGTTCGTGCCCTCCCGATGTCACATTTGTATTCTGTTCCTCATTCAAAGTAGATAAATGTATAGTAATGTTTTAGGAATATTAAAGTCGTCGGGCGACCTTCCAACATGCCTCAGGCGCAGGCAGTCATTGATGAGATTCAAGAGGAAGCCAAACAGTTCAATCGGATATACGTCGCCTCCATACACCCGGAATTAACTGAGGACGACATCAAGAAGTAAGCACATTGGAGGATGTTTGTTTTCTCAAGGCCTTAGTATATTTTGTACTCATCTGTAACTTTTATTATTAGCGTGTTCGAAGCATTTGGACCGATCACATATTGCAAACTGGCTTACGGCACCTCCCAACACAAGCACAAGGGCTACGGGTTCATCGAGTACGCCACGCTGCCCGCGGCGCTCGAGGCCATAGCTTCCATGAACCTGTTCGACCTGGGCGGGCAGTACCTGCGGGTGGGGCGCGCCATCACGCCGCCCAACGCGCTGGCCGGGCCGCCGCAGCCGTCCGCGCTGCCCACCGCCGCCGCCGTGGCCGCCGCCGCCGCCACCGCCAAGATCCAGGCCATGGACGCCGTCGCCTCCAACGCCGTCGCGCTCGGCCTCACCAAGCTCAACGCGCTCGGCGTGCCGCCCGCCGCCGCGCTGCCCACCCTCGCCGCCGCGCTGCCCGCCGCCATCCCGGCCGTGCTGCCCGCAGCCCTACCTGGAGTGATCCCGGCGGCCCTGCCCGGAGTACTGCCGGCGGCCATCCCTCCTCCGGGCGTGGTAATCCCTCCCGCTCCACGGGTTGGCCCCCTTCCCGCCGACCTGCCTCCCCCCACCCCCGCGCCGCCTCCCCCCGCACCGGCCGCACCCCCCACGCTCACGGAAGCGGAAGGGCAGCAACAAGCTGCCTTACAGCAGAAGCTACTGGATGCGTCACCCGACACCTTGCAGCAGCAGGAGTCCCTTTCAATATCTGGTCAATCAGCGCGGCACCTCGTCATGCAGGTAGGTCCGACGCCCACTCACGTGTCGGTGCTTGTGTCGNCCCCGCGCCGCCTCCCCCCGCACCGGCCGCACCCCCCACGCTCACGGAAGCGGAAGGGCAGCAACAAGCTGCCTTACAGCAGAAGCTACTGGATGCGTCACCCGACACCTTGCAGCAGCAGGAGTCCCTTTCAATATCTGGTCAATCAGCGCGGCACCTCGTCATGCAGGTAGGTCCGACGCCCACTCACGTGTCGGTGCGTGTGTCGTCAGTATGACGTCTGAAACTTGGTATCGTTACAGCGGCTAATGCGGCGGCGCGCCTCCCGCACCGTGCTGCTGTGCAACATGGTGTCGGCTGACGAGGTGGACGAGGCGCTACATCACGAAATCCAGGTCCGGATTTGTTGCTCGCTCCCCGTGCACTTGCCAGTGCTACCGGTTGTCTGTTACGACTGTTCACTCTTCGTTCTGTGCAGGAGGAATGCTCGAAGTGGGGCAGCGTGGAGCGGCTCGTGATCTACAACGAGCGACAGAACGAAGACGACGACCCCTCGCACGCTAATGTTAAGATCTTTGTACAGTTCGCCGAACCTGAAGGTATATTATTAATTACACATCCTGTAATCTAACTAAAGGTGTGCAGACGGGCTTTCGTTGTGTGTTGTGCATTTAGTTTATTGTAAGTTCATTAACAATATAAAATGATAAGCTGACAACCTGACAACAACTGACCGGTAATGTGATGGATTAGTTGATTGTAAATGCGAATAATTCGTTGATTGTAAATGCGAAGGATTAGTTGATTATAAATGCGAAGGATTAGTTAATTGTGAATGTGAAGGATTAGTAGATTGTGAATGTGAAGGATTAGTAGATTGTGAATGTGAAGGATTAGTTGATTATAAATGTGAAGGATTTGTTGATTGTGAATGTCAAGGATTAGTTGATTGTGAATGTCAAGGATTAGTCGATTGTAAATATGAAGGATTAGTTGATTGTGAATGTTAAGGATTAGTTGATTGTAAATGTGAAGGATTTGTTGATTGTAAATATGAAGGAATTGTTGATTGTGAATGTGGAGGATTAGTTGATTGTGAACGTGAAGAATTCGTTGATTGTGAATGTGAAGGATTAGTTGATTGTAAATGCGAAGGATTGCTTGATTTTGAATGTGAAGAAGTAGTTGATTATAAATACGAAGTATTGGATGATTGAGAATGTGAAGGATTAGTTGATTGTGAATGCGAAGGATTAGTTGATTGTAAATGCGAAGGATTAGTTGATTGTAAATGTGAAAAATATGTTGATTGTGAAGGTGAAGGATTAGTTGGTTGTGAATGTGAAGTAGTAGTTGATTGTGAATGTGAAGGATTAGTTGATTATAAATACGAGGGTGTAGTTGATCATAAATGTGCAAGAAGGATTGATGTGCACCGGGGTGTTGTTGCGTTGCCAGAGGCGAGTGCGACGGCGGGCGCGCTCAACGGGCGGTACTTCGGCGGGCGCACCGTGCGCGCCGCGCTCTACGACCAGGACCTGTTCGACCATGGAGACCTCTCCGGGTAGCCGCGCCGCCGCATACATACACTTACTCTACTAAATAATAATAAATAAACTTAAGATTAACTTTTTATAAAATGTCTTTCATTTCGTATCCTTACTCACTGTTCAGTGTAATACGACCGAACATCTTAGCAAGCTTTTTTTTTCCTACCGAAGCTGAGAGCCTTGAGAAAAGCGACCCACTGAGAAGATCCAGCGAGAAACTCAGTGGGCTGTATCTGAGGGTTAAAGTTAGCAAGCAATAACATCACACTGCACGTTTATTTAAAGTTGCAGTTGAACAGTAACAGCAGTGGTACATCAACCTGGTTCCGCGGAAGTCTGGTTCGGTCCTCGCGACCGTAACATTTAACAATAAATAACATTTATACCATAGAACATTTGTACGTGGCTGTGTGTATTAAAATGAGTTAGTAAAATCCGGATTTATCTATACTTAATATTATAAAGAGGAAAGATCTGTTTGTTTGTTTGTATTGAACAGGCTCCGAAACTACTGAACCGATTTAAAAAATTCTTTCACTGTTGGAAAGCTACGCTATCCCTGGGTGACATGGGATATATTTATTAAATTTTTAAAAAAAATTAGGGATCCTTACTGAAACTCCAATAATCTAACCCAATGTGTAAAAAAATTACCTAAAATTATTTACACCGTGCGCTACTTCCCAAGCGAAGCCGGGCGGGCCGCTAGTCATTAATAAACAATTACTTTCTACAGTCCCTGGGTGAATCTCAACTTTTGTCAATATGTTGTGATCACTTTTCCTTTTATTGTGGCCTTATTTTGTTGTTGAAGGCTACGAGCCACCTAGGGACGGGATTACCAATTAGTTTTTTTTTTTTTATAACAACGAGAGGCAAACGAGCAAGACGGGTCACCTGATGGTAAGTGATTCACCGCCGCCCACGGTCACCAGCGTTTACGCCAGTGCGTTGCCTACCCTTCAGGTAAGAATATGCTCTTTTCTTGAATAACCCAATGTCGCAGTTGTTAGGGAAGACTTAAGATGACTTAACTTAGTAGATGACTTAAGTACCTATCAAATTGCTTTTTTGTGTCTCCGTCAATCTTATTTAATGTTACTACCGCGTAATAAATACTGCCACACTTATTGATTCCTGTTTCAGAACACCATAAATTACTTTAAACAAAAAGCTTTATTCGAAGATTAGCGTTAAAAGCCCGCTCAAAGTTTTCAATCAGGAAATCACGTTGTATCCAATGTTTTAGATGTTTTGATGTTCATACCCGCCGACGCTGCTCCATCGATCACAACACTTCTAATAAAATTACGCGCTACAGTGTTATAAATTGAATAATATTTAGCGTTTGATCGATGGCTTACAGAACGCGCCACGATTTTATTTAAACCGGTTCGGTGGAATTCGTAGGTAATATAAATAAGTACATCTCGTCCAAGGACCACAGGTTCGAAGGAAGGCAAGTATGTATCCACCACTACAGTCGGTTTGTAAGTAATGTGTACCTTACATAATTGGACTTTAGGAGTACCTACAAATGGATGTCTACCATTACAATGGTGGTACTTATGGAATTTTTTAGTGCTACAGGTGACGCATTCCGTAGGATAGACCATTCTAACCGACGCCATCTAGACGGGCTTCGGATAACCTGCCGACCGAGAGGGCTAGTGGTCGTGGCGCCGACGACCGCCGGTCCGGCGTCCCGAGGGGGAGGGTAATGAGAGAGATGTGCTCCGCACTAAACGCTTCTCATTCCCCCCTTTGCCTTTTCATGAGTTCTGTCTCATGCGAGGTTTGGATGCTGGTTGTTGAGCGACCGGAGGTTTTAGTCGGTTCAACTCCGACATGGCCCCCCTTCATCTCCAGTGGAGGGCAGAAGTACGGTGGTTTCCTCCTGACAAAAAAAAACAGGTGACGGAAATATTGAGAAATACAATAGCTTAAATACAATGTTGGCGTCTTTGAATTCCGATCCAATTTTTCTAGTGAAGCTTCCGGCGTGTTTTATGGGAGAGTATTAACAAAAATGTATTAATTATTACATGTATCATTTCAAAATGAGTAGATGACAAAATTATAACTGATTAAATACTTATTACATTGAAGTCAACTTTAGGTTTCCCTTTTAAAAGAGCACTTGTTGCTTAATTTTTGCTATAATTGCCCTAACAAAGACTAAATAATTACCCTTACATAACATAAACAACGCGGTCATAAATTAATCAATCAATCAAGAAAGTCAGTCTACAACTTCACAACCAAAGCCTTGAAAATCAAATTCCGACAAACTTCGAAAGGATTAAATTAAAAGTTTCTGGTCTACAAATCAAAGATTGGCGATTCGATTGAAGTAACAATTGCTGGAGCCCGTTCATTAACAGCACCTTCACAACTTTTGATTTATTCGATATTCGATTTGATCGTGAGATTTGAATTTTTGATGTTCATAATTCGCTTAGGTACATTCGATTTTCTGAAAGTTTTACAGTTGATGTAAAGTTTTTGCTGAATTATATTTATTGCTTATGTGGGTGGACGAGCTCACAGCCCACCTGGAGTTAAGTGATTACTGGAGCCCATAGACATTTACGATGTAAATGCGCCACCCACCTTGAGATGTCAGTTCTAAGGTCTCAAGTATAGTTACAAGGGCTGCCCCGCCCTTCAAACCGAAACGCATAACTGCTTCACGGCAGAAATAAGCAGGGTGGTGGTACCTACCCGCGCGGACTCACAAGAGGTCCTACCACCAGTAATATATAAAAACTGTTTTTTTTGTTCAGAGTACTAGAAAGGTGTTAGATTGAACATAAGAATCCCGAAGGCAATCAACGAGATGAAGCCATGACTTATTCAGAACCGCGGAAAATAAATCGAATATCGTGAGATCCGATAAGGAATGATTTTTTATTGACAAGGCAAACGCAAAAAAGGTGTAGTTAATATAATATTTATCAACTGGCTTATATTGATCAAGAATTATAGTCAGGTGGGTTATCATAATTATAGCAATTTGATAATGTAAACAAACAGAAGTAACATGAAATTTATTATTGTCTCAAAAGACCGGTATTTATTGATATAATCAAGTCCAGGGTTACGCTGAGGCCTTACCCACTGCATAAGACTGCTCTAAAACCTTGATTGAAGAAAGATATTCTGTCATAACGCTCAGAATGCACCATGAGGGTGAGTCATTTCCAAAGTCATAAGGCGTCGTAGTCTAAAGAATATGACGCCCGGTGTAGTCGGATCAAGCGATGCGACTGTGCCGGTGTTCGAATCCCGCGAGCGGGTAGTTACCAATTTTTCTAAAGAAATACGTACTTAATAAATGTTCACGATCTTAGAGTATACATACTTGCTTATGTATACTCTAAGCTCACGATGGACTTCCACGGTGAAGGAATAACATCGTGTGTAATAAAAATCAAACCCGCAAAATTCTGATTTGCGTAATTACTGGTGGTAGGACGTCTTTTGAGTCCGGACGGGTACGTACCACCACCCTGCCTATTTTAACCGTGAAGCAGTAAAGCATTTCGGTTTGCAGAGTGGGGCCGTCGTTGCACTGTGAGAACTGAGACCTTAGAACTCATGTCTCGAGGTGGGTGGCGGCATTTACATTGTAGATGTCTATGTGCTTCAGTAACCACTTACACCAGGTAGGCCGTGAACTCGTTCATCCATCTAACCAATAAGAAAAAAAAATGCCTGCTACGTAAACATAGTTAAAATAAACCTACTTTTAAAACTGTTCAAGATTTTAAGTATTTAAAAATTTCGAACATTTTAAAATCCAAAGCTAGCTAAAATATTTAATAGCGGTAGCCAACAAAGTAGTTGCCAACTCCACAGAAATACTTGTATAAGAAATGCGAACATTAATTTCGACAGAATACGTAGGCACCCACTTGATCCCGGACATTAAAACCCTTTAGAGCCCGGGGAAACCGCGTAAGGTGTTATAGGAAATAAAATACCAGCTCAAACTTTGCCCTGGGCACTGTCATGTGAGTGAACAGTAAGGTAATTAATTCTGAACGTGAAATTGCAAACTAACCTGGTGACAATTTTTGTTTAAATAAAATAAATATCCTTAGAATCATTAATGTAGATATATTCCACATTTCAAAGAAGAACATATACATGAGTTGTACATATTATGTTATATGGCTGTCAAGTTGTTACATAAAATTCTTCATAGAAATAATCATAGCTTAGTCATAGAAATAGTAATAGTCATAGCTTCGCGGGATAGTGACATCCATCCATCCTTGAGGCTTAGAAGATACACCGGAATTTACGATAACGAGACTATAGTCTCACAACGTATAGAGAATGGGGTCATTCCGATAGAGGCACCCGTCACGCGCGGACGTGCTCATCGACCACTCGATCGCCCGGCCTTTGTTCGCCCGGCTTTTGTTAGCCCGGCCATTGTTCGCGCGGCCTGTGTTCGTGGTACATCTGCCGACTAAGTGTTTTTCCTGGAAGTTTTTATTTGTTTTGTTTCCTTTTGTTATTTCTGTGTTCGTGGTACATCTGCCGACAAACTGTCTTCCTGGAAGTGTTTAATTGTTTTGTTTCTTTTTGTTATTTCCGTTTTGTTGTGATTTTTCTTTGTCCTGCAGTAATCGTGCCGCATCGCCACCTGTGTTCAATAGAACCGCTCAGGTCCGAGAAGTTGGGGCCTCGCCGCAAGGCGAGTGTTTTCTAAGACCCAGGGTAGCCCCACCTGGGCACGTAGACATCATGGACGCTGTATTTGCGGAATTTCTCCGGCTTCGCTACCCAAAGCTCACTTCCGAGTTTCAGGCCTTCAAGGCCGATCACACTGCGAGCCCTCTCGTGGACTCCACCGAGCTCGCTGCTCCTGCGTCGCCTGTACCTGCGTGCAAAGCTTCTGCATCGAGCACCGCAGCCTCCGTCGTGCCTGCCGTTCCCGCGTCGCCTATACTGGCGAGTAAAACTGCTGCGTCGTCCGCCGTGGTCACCGTTCCAGCAGCGCGATCATCCGC